AGAGAAAACCTACGAGATTGGACAGGCAACTCTACTCCTTGTCACGTACATCCGGGGAATCGAAACCTGGTCACTTGACCAAATGACAGACCTTTATAATACAGCGCGCCATCCACCCCCACCCCCTCCCCGCCGGTAAATATAATAACTGAATTGTTTAAACATACAATATGCAAGAGATAAATGTGCCTATTGCAGGACTTTCTTTAGGCCTGAAATGTCATCTAAACTATTAATTAGACATTAATTAACACGAGAAGACCTTAATCAACTCTCGATACCATTTTATGCGTCCGATTTTCTCTGTATTTGAATCCGATTTGATTCTCAACGCTTATTGATGATTTAATCCAAAAATGGATAATCGAGACTGTTTTTTATCGTACGGACTTTAGTAATGATGCTCGAGGTTAGTGGAGCGTTGAGCAATTTGACAGAAATTTTCAGCAAATTCTCTTTACATTATCTAATTTTTAACTATTATGTGAGAACTGGCGGCTCTTTATCTAATCTTCCATGATGTATCTTTGTTTTTGTATTCAGGAATAACCATCTTTATTATTCTTCCTTTTAAAGATGCATCATGGAAGATTAGATAAAGACCTGGCAGTTCTCATTATAATAGTTATAAACTAAATAATGTAAAGAGAATTTGCTGAAAATTTCTGTCAAATTGATCTACTATGAAACGAAAATTAGCGAGTGAAATTTCGACCTAGCCTCTTGGGGTTTAATATAGGCTATGTCTGTTCCCCATTCCCTATTCAGATACAAATCTGAATAAAAATGTTGCTTATAAAAAAAAAGATCATCAGTACTAAAGTATGTACGATAAAAAAAACATAGTCTCGATCATCTATTTCTTGATTGAATTATGAATGGAAGTCGAGCAGCAAATGGGATAATAATCCAGTAAATATCGTAGGCTAGCGATGCTATCGAGAGTTGATTATGATCTGGATAAGTTAATTAATGTCTAATTTATAATTTAGATAACATTTCAGGCCTAAAGAAAAAACCGGAAAAGACATATTTAGCTCTTGTATAATGCATGTTTAATCTTGAAGTTTGTTAAATATTAAAGAGTGTATTCAGAATGATATTCTTTATTGTGCTATTTAGGGGTCTTTAGGGATCTATAGGCTTCTGCCTGTTTATCAATACAGTTTCTAGGAATAAATATTGTTTAGAAAAAAAAAACAAAAAAAACCCTATGATATATTCCTATATACAATTGAATTTTATCAGTGTATATTCAGAAATAATATTAGTTATTATTACCCCATTAAACTATGATATATTGCTATATATAATTATAGTATATGAAATAGATGACATGCTTTATATAAGGTTAACTACTGGGATATAATTTGACCAATTACAGACTAATTTACATGCATTAACCCATGAAAGATTTGACCACCTTTTGTACTTGGTTCAATAGATGTAAGTCAATGAAAATTGAGCCGTGTACCTCTTTCGACCTTAAAAATAACTTTCAGACGAATTAAAAGTTGTTTTCTTTTGTTTTCGAAACCGAATTGATAATTTGTAGGGCTATTATTTTCCTGAAAGATCAAAATAAATAGTCCTATTTGATCTTTCTGATCTCCCCTTTTTGATTTTAGTTATTAAAGGGGAAGACCAACGATTTTCAATAAGGTTTCCATAAATAACAAATATATATTTAGAAATAATCCCTCCTATAGGTTGCCAACGAACAGGTTGCCAGCTGGATCGGTCGAATAGGTCGCTAGCCGAATAGGTCGCCAATTTGTGTTCGGTTAATATCTGTCACGTGCCAGCTATCACGTGATGTAAACAATTAGCCATGTGGCTTAAATTGTGTCACAGTGTCCAGTTTAGAAACTTAATTTACACAAACGCGTTGTATATTATACCTTCAAAACACCGTAAGTTCTTGTTCTTAATATCCTAATAAAGATTACCTTTCATCAGATTTTCTGCCAAACGGCGAAACGATCACAAAATACAGCGCTAAACTTGCTCCAAATTTGTATGTTTACTATAGTGACCAGTGAGCGTATCGAACCAACTACGTCACTTCCGGTATTAATAAAAATTAATTTCTCGCTTGCAAATTATTTTTTGCATATGTTATAGGAGGGATTATTTCTAAATATATATTTATTATTTATGGAAACCTTATTGAAAATCGTTGGTCTTCCCCTTTAAAGGGGGTTAGCATTGAATCAAACGATTCGTTGACATGTCCCATTATTTTTTTGCCATGCAAGTCGTATATTATTTATGCCGATTAAAATATGTCACAGGTATGGAACGACATGCACAACATAATGGAAATAGAACAATATTTGCGTGTTAAACTGCATGTTAAAATGAAATGAAAGGGGCTTTAAGTTTAACGTCCTACTGTTATGCTCAAATACTGGGCTACTGAAGACAGGCATACGCCCTACAGTGTGCTATGAGGGATATTTTGCCCAGACAGCGGCACTACGAACTACTCTTATATCGAATTCCAACTGCCAGGGTTTCTGTTACGTGCACGCCGATGTATACACGGTACCCCAGTGTTTTGTACCATCCGAACGACTATACACCGCTGTGCTAAGACAGCGTATACTCATTGTCCGTTATGCTTTTAACGTTAATTATAAATACAATATGATACAGTACCTGAATGGGGGGGGGGGGGGCTGGGTGGTCGAATGGATAGTGCGTCAACTGGCGTGGTTTCGATTCCGAGCTTGTACCTCGAGGTTTTTCTCCGGGTGCTCCGGTTTCCTCCCACTGCTAAAGACCCCTACGCACAAGCGAATTATTGAAATAAGAGAGAGAGAGAGAGTCATTTTGGGACTAACATATGGTTTAATTTTATTTTAATAATTCGCTTACGCATAGGGGTCTTTAGCTGTGGAAGGAAACCGGAGGACCCGGAGAAAACCCACGAGGCATGCGACCCTACTCCTTGTTACGTACAACCGGGGAATCGAAACCAAGCCAGTTGATATTCAATCTAGGCTCACAAGATGCGGCAAATAGCCGGCGTTTCTTTTGTGGTTTAGTAGCTGGCTATATACATTAGTTACACAAAATACACTTAGTTGGCTATATACATTAATTACACAAGATGCGGCAAATGCCGGCGTTTCTTTTGTGGTTTAGTAGCTGGCTATATACATTAGTTACACAAATTACACCTAGCTGGCTATATACATTAATTACACTAAATACACCTAGCTGGCTATATACATTAATTACACTAAATACACCTAGTTGCCGGGTAGTGTGTACTGAATTATTTTAGTTACACAAACTGCTCCTAGTTGCCGAGTGTTGTGCGTTGAATTATTTTTAAGCATAAAACAGAATACTATAAATATTGGTTACATAAAATGCGACTGTCGGCTAGTGTGTGCTGCACTTTAATCATGGAAGAGAATGGCGTTTCTTTAGTGGTTTATTAGGTGACTGTATACATTGTATATAACCCCTATGAATAGTGAACGGTATGAATATTTGATGTAGAGTTTTTTAGGAGTGGGTGATGTGTATGATCGACTACGTGTTTCCAGCTGAATGTCATCGAAGGCATCAGTATTAACTCTAATTATTTATATTCTCTTTATTAGAACCCGGGGATTTAACGCCTCAAATTATCGCTCATACAAATATCGTCAGGAGAATTGAATTCCCATTCTGTGTGTAACCAGTAATAATTGTACTACGGTGTCGAACAACATTGAAACTTATTGAATCCTGGATATGGCACACCACTGATCCCGTCCACAACAAGTATTGTTTTGGATGAAGCAACCGATGAGTTCGATCAACATGTCGAAGAATTAAAACAGTTGCAGTTTTGTCAATGGAAGGTACCGTGAAGGTTATTAGATTTAGTTTGTCTATAATAACAGCAGTAGGATTACAGCTTGGTTATATTATATAAAATGACTGACATGTTGATATAGATGTCTCTCTCGGTTATTGTGATCAGTTAATAACATGTGCGTGAGATTATTTGATCATTGTCATAGCTGCTCACAGAAACTCTCCGTTTTTCTTTACAGATAACAGATTGCATCTTGATTGTTCTACACGGATAATTAAGGAAAACTCGGAGCACTGTCATAGCTGCCCACAGAAACTCTCCATTTTTCTTTACAAATAACAGACTGTGCATCTCGAGTGTCAATCGCGAATAATTTGAATGAAAACTCCAGACCTTATAAGCCAGATTCCTGTAAAATGTTTCATCAGCCTTGGGGATAAAATAAGACTTCACCGAAATTATCAATTTTCTTTACAGAAAACAGACTGCGCATCTCGATTGTCATCCACGAATACTTAACGAAAAATAAGATTCTATCTAATTCAACAGGAACTAATCCCAGAATCAGCCTGGGTGATAAATTAGGACCTCGGCTTATTCTAATAGGTCGGAAGTTATTAGACGTTTAGAGAAATTAACATGTTAACGAGATTTAATATACTGTATAACCAACAACACAAATCATCAAAGATTTTACTAATAAAACAATGCATCGGTGTTAGAAACTGCTAATAGTACTAAGATGAACATTAGTTACCCTGGAACATTTAATATACTGTATACCCAACAACACAAATCATCGTAAGTTTTATTAAGAAACAAACCATCAGTGCTAGAAACTACGAATGGTACTGAGATGAAGATTAGTTACATGTCTGGGTAAATTAATTAAAACATTAGTTGGACGCCTGAATACCCTGGAACATTGGTTATGAATCTGGATAAAGAACTTTAGTGAAATTTTGGGATAAATTAACTTGAACATTATGCCTGGTTAAATTGACTTGAACATTACGCCTGGATAAAGTAACTGGAAAATTAGCTAGTTTTCTAGATGAAGTAACTGGAACATTAGTTATACGCCTGAATAAAGCACCTGGAACATTAGTTAATTTTGTAGCTAATCTGAATTTATCATTAGTTAACTTGAACATTGGTTAGTTTACGGATAAAGTGAGAAGCTTGTTCTGTGACGATTTGTTAAAGACACGATTTTATTTATTATCACCAAAACAATCTGACGAACGCGTGGATGAAAACAAAGGATTCTGTGAGCTATAAGTGAAATTAAACTATAAGAAATGTGAATCACAACAATTTTGATTATCTTTATTTTACTGTTTATGCCATGTTGTATTGAGCAGCATGACTGCATTATACCCTGTGCTGTATTCCCGTACTGTTTATTCTATGTTTTGTTGAGCAGTAAGACTATATGAGACACAGTACTGTATTCACATACTGTTTATTCTATTCTGCATTGAGCAGTAAGGCTGTTTTAGACTCAGTACTGTATTCACATACTGTTTATTCTATTCCGCATTGAGCAGTAAGGCTGTTTTAGACTCAGTACTGTATTCACATACTGTTTATTCTATTCCGCATTGAGCAGTAAGGCTGTTTTAGAAACAGTGCTAGACTCGTGTACAGTTTTTTCTATGTCTTGTTGTACAAAATTACCGTACTATCTATTCTATGCTGTATGGAGCAATAAGACTTATTAGATCCAGTGCTATATTAAAATACTGCTTGTTCCATGTTTTGTTGAGGAGTAAGACTGTATTGGACCCAGTGCGGTATTAAAATACTGCTTGTTCCATGTTTTATTGAGCAGTAAGACTATATTAGACCCAGTGTTGGTGTGTTATAATGAATAAGTAGTTGATTGTGATTTTTACTGGGTTGACATGAAGATTAACTGACGGTAAGTAGACTACACGCCTAATTGTTTGTCACAAATATGAATATTCATAGATTAAATGATACCGCTGGGATATCTCTAAGTGACATGAAGGATGACACCATGGACATGATTTACAGGCGAGGTCTGATTGTATTATAAACTATGTATTATGGTGATCTGCTTCCATCATTGCCCAAATTACAAGACCAGGTCGATGATGTGGTGAAAAAACAACAGACCAAGAGTAGTAATTATTTCCCTGGAATTTTCTCCCCTCTTCCTGCCTTTTTTGGTTGACTTTTTTGTCTAGAATTGGAGATAAGGGATCAAATTTGCAATTTCATAGCAGTTCTGGATAATACTGATGATATTAGAGCGGAGGGATAGGGGATGTAAAGTGTCTTTCTGCAGAGCAATCATTGTGTCGGAAGTGAGATTTTCACCCCAGTCAACATCAAATCTCCGTAACAAAAAATCTAAACGGTCAACCATTGTGGTTTGAAGTATATAAAACGATACGAAATACGATTGGCGTTTTAATCCGATTACATCAAAAAACTTCTGGCGACTCTGCTGATTACTATCGCACCGAGGTTACGAGCAATTTTACCCCGATTATTTTTTAATTTTTTAATTTTTGCATCGACAATGTGGAACGTCTGGGTACCCCGATTATTTATCATCGGTTTGTATACGATTATTCCTTCTATACATGTATACATTGGAATGCACGTAAAAGATCCCTTGGCAGTTAGAATTCTATATAAGAGTAGGCCGTAGCGCCGCTGCCCGGGCAAAATTTCCCTTATATCACACTGTATGGCGTATGCCCGTCTTCATTAGCCCAGGTTAGGAGCAGAACAGTAGGACGTTAAACCCCATTTCATTTCAATTCTAGAATATAGCCTACAAATTAAATATTGTGATATCTGACTTTAATCAATTGGTGTAAACGGCTTTAAATGCGACATTTTACACATGACTTGAAGTAAAACATGTGACTTGTAAATGTTTTGACTTACAGATAAATATTTAATACCTGAAGTTGGGTATCTCTTGTTGTTGATCGATCAATCGATCAGTATAGCTGTTGTTGATTTCATGTCACAAAACACGAATAACAAATTATATTGGATTTATTCACTAATAGCAGTTTGTGGTTATTCATGTCTTTTTAGGGTGGCGGGGGGGGGGGGGTAGATGATCCAGTTGGTAGTGAGTAGTAACGGGCAAATGGCCTTGGGTAGTCACGAAGTTTCGTAAATGATCAAACCCCGACCCGAAAACTCGATGCTCATTCGAATATATATCTGCGTCCACTGCCGTTCTGGTACTGGAACCCTTGATAGTTGGAAATCCAAGAAGAGTCACGCTCCCGGCAAAATTAACCCCGTCTCCTCGCATTGTACATATAAATAAAATTTCCGCAAATACAACACTCCTAATACTCGTATGTTCTCAAGTTTTATATAGTAGACGGTACAGTCGTTCCCAGACTACCCTGACCGATGATAAGTTGTATATTCTAGAAGGAACAGGTGGACCCAGACATTCCACCTTGTCGATACAAAAACCATCAGAGTAAAATTTCTTGTAACCTCTGGGCGTAGACAATAACAAGAGTCACCAGAAGTTTGTTAACGATGTGAACCCGTAAAATAACACCCGTTATATTCATAGGACCAAATCTGACCTCCAATTACCATTCAGAAGAATTGTTGTCTACAAATTAAAATAAAATATCGCGCAGAACACAATATATATGCAAATGGCGATTTATTTAAAAGTGGATAATTTGTTTTGGTTTATTATCATGTAATAGTAAACATATAAATGGGAAATTATTTTTAAAATTGAAATGAAATAGGATTTAACGTCCTACTGTTCTGCTCCGAACTGGGCTAATGAAGACGGGCATACGCCATACAGTGTGCTATGAGGAAAGTTTTGCCCGGACAGTGGCACTATGGCCTACTCTTCTATCGAATTCTAACTGTCAAGGGATCTTTTACGTGCACGCCAATGTGTACACGGGACCTCGGTTTTCCGTCCCATCCGAACGACTATAGACAGCTGTCCTTGTCAAGCCCTCCGTCCTGTATCACTGACAAGGGGGAACCACGCCGGAAAATCTGGATGAACTTTCTCAGCCAATGCAGGGATCGAACACCCGACCTCCAAGCTAGCGAGCCAGCGTCTTACCCACTTAGCCAATGTGACCCCTTTTAAAAGTGAATATTTGTTTAGGATATGTAATCATGTAATAAAAAAACGGAACTAGATCGTGTAGATCAAAATATTATAAACATTGTGACGCATATCCTGTAAGTCTAATATACTCATGTAATTCATAACACGAACAAAGCTCTTATCAATTTTGTCGAATAAACAGAATTAAATGCTGACAGATCATATCATATAACTAGCACACCATTTGCCACAAACTGTGCTCCCATTTTACGTGGTCTTGTTCTGGACATTAGAGGAAATCTATCTATAAAATAGAAAGAATCCCAATTTTTATTGCACGAATTCTCGGTGTAAGCAAGCCCAATAATGTTGCTAATGAGGGTCGCATTCCAAACATTCTGTCAAAGTTCAAAGTATTAATGGGCGTCATCGTTAAATTCGTCAATGTAATTTGAACTCTAAGTTACATGTTTTGTTCGTGTTTTAAAGAATTATATTTAGATTTACTTGTCATCGAAGGGGAGTGGGTGGCCTAATGGTTTAACGCATGCGCGTTGGATCATAGGGGCTGTCATTGAGGCAGGTGGTTTGGTTTCGATTCTCCGCATGTACGTGACAAGGAGCAGGGTTTTCTTTGGGACCTTCGGGTTCCTCCCACAGATAAAGACCTATACGCGCAAGCGAATTATTGAAATAAAATTGAACCATATGTTAGTCCCAAAATGTCCTGGTTTGTGTCGAATGGGCGTTGAACTGCATTTCTCTCCATCCATCTCTTTTCATCAAAAAAAAGATCTCCTTGGTAATAAGGGCATAAAATTCGACCAATCATCTCTGTTCATTTAGGAATAGGACTTCAACATCTGACCAATCATATCTCACGTCTCATATAGACACGCACATCTGACCAATCATATCACATGTCTCATATAGACACGCACATCATTTAGGAATAGGAGTTCAACATGTGACCAATCATATACACACGCACAGCAGACTCACAAGTTACCAGCGCCGATTAAATTTCCATTTGTAATTTTGTTGGCATGGTATATAACGACGATAACACGAAACATGTACATTTGTTGAAAGACTATTTCTATTATCGACGAGATTGTACACACATTGTCTTAGAAAGTTAACATTTAGAAAGATAACACGTGCTTCTGTTGAATAACAATCTCTATCATTACAACATTTGAAAGGATGAAGATTGTTTGGGGATGTGTTGACTTTATAAGTAAGAGGTTGTAAGTGGTATGTTGAAAGGGTGACCTTCTTGCCATGACAGGATGCAAGTTATCGGGTAACCCGAAGAATCAATTGTTTCCATTGAAGGAGCTAACCCTAACTGATTTAAGCTGAAATAGAATCAAATGTTGGAATGGAATATTAATATATGGTTTGGATTTTTCGAACTTTGTTTTATTTTTTTAAACTGTTTTGTTGAATTTGTGATGGAACACGATCTGTGCTATTAGATTCTCATTACTTTATTGGAAGTAGTTTTATTCACTAATTTTAAAATGGTGAAAGTAATATATTAACGAAGACAGAATCAATGAACACATCAAATTTAGTTAAAATTTAGTGGATCCTTTCCAAATGAATTTTATTCGACACCGAGATTGAACACGGAACCTTCAGGTTAGCGAGCCTACGTCTTACTGACTGAGCCAACGCGGCTCTCTAACGGCATTGGCAGGAAGTTGGAAGGGAAGCACCGTAGTGCATGTTTGATAGGAAAGCCTAGATGGCTCAGTGAGTAAAGGGCTGGCTCGCTAACCAGGCGGTTCATCCTGTTGTCCGTAAAACATTTCCGGGGTTTTTCAGCGTGGTGTGCAGGACAGAGGACAACAGAATTAGTGTCTATTTCTTAGGGGACGGCTAACCCAGGTCGCGTGCATACGTTGGTGTGCACGTACAAGAACCCTTGACAGTTGGAATTCAACAGGGAGAAGACCGAATCGTCGGTGTCCGGGGAAGCTTCCCTTATAGCACACATCTTGGCATATACCAGTCTACATTAGCCCGGGTGGTGCGGAACAGTAGGTCCTTAAACCCCATTTTCAAATACGTTAAAAATGGGTACAGGGAACCGTTCATTGTTTGGTTCTCATCTGGCAAATAACGCTAGGTCATCAGTACGCGGTAATCAAGACTTCAAACTTGTTACACACACAAAAAAACGATTAAGACCAAGATAATAATTTATGTTGCTTTTTTATTTATTTTCAGGTTTTTGAAAATATTATAAAATGGATACGGACCCGGATGTAATTCAGAGTAGTCGATCAGTAAGGTGTAAGAGATTTATTATAAAATGTTTGAAGAAGTTTTTGGTGTTTCTCATATCTCAGGTTGGATTAACGTGTGTGATGGTTGGATACACGATTGGTGGAGGCTTTTTATTTGTCTGGCTAGAATCAGGTCATTCGAAGGAAGTAAGACAGAACATCGGTAATATTCGACATGATCAGGTGAATATCAGTTTTAATTCACGTATAATATCCGATATGAACAGGTGAATATGGGTTTAAATTCATGTATAATATCTGACATGAACAGGTGAATAAGTTTTGAATTCATGTATAATTTCCGACAAGAACACAATCTGATTAAAATACAGATTTATATTTCGTTTCATTTTTTTATACTTTCGATGGCAGGTCAATATGGCTTTTAATTTATGTATAATATGGATAGGTCAGTATGAGTTTTAATTCATGTATAATATCCGACATGAACAAACGAATATGGGTTTTAATTCATGTATAATATACATGGCTGAGATTTATGCAGTCCGATAGTAATATCATACCTGGAAACCCATTTGCCCGTTTACGTGTACCATGGGCGTAGCAGCCGAGGGGAGGGGCGGGGGCTGCAGCCACCCCAGATTCGATGAAACTTTCATTTTTCGGGCACAAACATCAGAGAATGAGACCATATATGATAGAAATATAATTATTGTAAAATGAAATCGCTCGCGGTTTACGTTTTGAATACTATTATACTACTTACGACCTCGGACAATAACATTTGTGGAAAACTCGTTTTAGTTAATGATTGATTCATTCTGATTCATTTCGGGCAAATAGCCTCAGCCCCCCAACTGATATTGGCCTCCTACGCCCATGTAAATAAAAATGGCCCAGATCTCTGCAGCCCAAAAGTAATATCATACTTGAAAACACATCCCACAAGATAATGCGGAAGTTGTTCAAAATGGCTGATTCACAAACTACAAAACAATTTTCAAAAAGTACAAAACGGTTAACGTTTTTTCTGAACAATTTTTTTAAGGTCCGCGTTTAATTCATTTGCATCACCATTGTAGTGTTGTTTTATAGTGATATTGTCATTGAAAATAGACCCATCCTCCGTCATTAACAATATACATAACAGGGCCGGCGGAAGCAATTCTTGATTGGGGGGGGGGGGCTTCCATCCTAGGTCCTTATAGGCGTGGGGCCAGGGGCCGCAATAACCTGGAGAAAAGAGTACTTGCAGCCAAATTATTGGTGGGTGGCTAAAGCCCCCCCCCCCACTCCGCCAGGCCTGCATAAGATCATAATGTCTGTCATTGAGTCGGGTGGCGTAGTTTCGATTCCCCCGAGGCTATTTAAAAAGTATACGAATAAAAAACGAAACGAAATATAGATCTGGGTTTACTCAGATTGACATTGACTTAAATTAATACAAATTATTCGTGTTGTTGATATTTATCTTTTATTTAACACAAGGTACAATTTTATGGAACCACAATTACTGAGTTTAATACTAAACGACGTTTCGACGAGGATACTTGCTTGATAAAGATGAGAGTATCCTCGTCCAAACGTCGTTTAGTATTAAACTCATTAATTGTGTATCCATAAAATTGTACCTTGTGTTAATATTAATATGTTCAATTACTAAATACCAATCAAAGAAGACATTTTCTTTTTATTGAAGGTTAAGAAATTATGGGATATAACTGCCAGCTTAAATATTTTATATGAGAAGAACTGGACAGTGATGGCGGAATCTGTTTTTCTGAAGTTTCAGACTGATATTTATCATGCTGTAAAAGACAGTGGTTGGGACGGACAGGATTCAATAACTAAACAAGTTGGTGATGAAGAATGGAGCTTCGCTGGTTCTCTTCTTTATTCTGTTACCGTCATAACAACCATAGGTAGGTCATAGCAACCATAGGTAGTCCATAGCAACCATAGGTAGTCCATAGCAACCATAGATGGGTCATAGCAACCATGGATAGGTCATACCAACCATACGTAGGTCATATCAACCATAGGTAGGCTATAAAAGCCATAAAAAGGTCAAACCAACCACAGGTAGGCTATAACAGCCATGGGAAGGTCATACCAACCACAGGTAGGTCATAACAGCCATGGGTAGGTCATACGAACCATAGGTAGGTCATACGAACCATGGGTGGATCATAACAGATAGGCGAGTAGGTCATAATAACCATAGGTTAGCCATGGTAACCATAAGTAGACCACGGCAATCATAGGTTAGCCATGACTACCATAAGTATCCCACAGCAACCATAGGTAAGTCATAGCAACAATAAGTAGGTCATAACTACCATAAGTAAGTCATAAAATCCTTGTTGGCACAGAAAAAGGTTGGCAGTCTGAAGTCTAATACGTCTTTCTTACACGCACGCACTGTAGTCTGGTTGAGTTACGAGGGTGGGGGTTCTTGTGTCAAGAGCATTTCTTCATCTATATCAGGCACTGGTTAATCCCTATTTTATTCCAAGTACTAGTTATATCTAAGTCGGGGGATGAATGGTCGAATGGTTAGAGCGTGCGCGTTGTATCGTAATGTCTGTTATTGAGTCAACTCAAGTAGGGTTACCTGTCTCCGAGTCCTCCGGTTTCCTCCCACTGCTAAAATTGAATTATGTAGTTTCATTTCGCCAACATAAATTTTACTTATATATACATAAATAAATTAAAAAAATACGTCCAGGTAAATAATTCTCCACTTTACTTTACTTCATTCTGACATACATTAAATCATATAAGCTAGCTGTCTACCTTCTATAGGCGTCTTCAGATATTAATAATATATAAAAAATATTAAAATATCATACATTCTTAGAATAATAGATTTCCATGACAATGGATTATAAATAATATTAGGTAACATACAACAAAAGGTATATATATATATGTCAATATCTTTATGTAATTTTCAGGTTACGGCCATTTAACACCGCGTACAATGGAGGGACGAATAGCCACCATATTCTACGCAGTGATTGGAATACCCTTATTCATGTTGTGTTTATCAAATATTGGCAGTCTCATGGCGCAGTGTTTTAGACTCTTCTGGAAGCATTTAAAATATACGCAATTTTTCAAACCTAAACGTCAAAACCAAGCGAACTTCAGATCGTCAACTAAAAAACCATTGATGGACTTAAATCAAGTGAACGGAAGTGACGTCATGACAGAAACGGTTGGTAACGAGGCTCAGTTTATGAAAGTATTGGAGGTTAATACCCGATCGGAAGTAATCCGGATTCCCATAAGTGTTTGTTTATGTATCGTGGCGTTCTATATATTTCTAGGTGCTCTATTGTTCCAACAGTGGGAGGAGGGGTGGACCTATATGGATGCTTCGTATTTTAGTTTTGTGACATTAAGTACAATCGGATTCGGTGATTTGGTGCCGGGTTACGCCCATGATTCGTGGGGTAATCAGTATAAACGTGTCGCCTGTGTGCTGTATCTGTTATTCGGACTGGCGCTACTTGCCATGTGTTTTGAACTGTTACAATCAGAGGTACGAGAAATTAGCAGACGTATTGCACGTGCTCTTGGTATTGTGGAAGAATAAGGTTAAGCATTGAGGCGTCTCTGGGAAATCAAGCGCATCATTTTACTATCATATGGCACTTCATTTGACGCTTCATTTGACGCAAAATTTAGCGCGTCATTTGGCGCAATTTTTGGCGCATCATGTGGCACGTGGCACGCATGTGTTTGTGAATATTCTGACAGACAGATGTGACGTGTGTAACAGTTTGCGCATTTCCCCTAATAACATACCCGAATAAGACTTGATAAAGAAACACATCCTCAGATAATCTTGTGGATGCAGGTTTAAAATCGTTCAATCTTTTTAAATTTGGTCAATATAAAATATTGGACTGTACTGAAGTTTCGAAAGATTGACCGGAAGTTGGTTTGTTGTGTAAATTTACTTTCATTTGCCAAGAAATCAACACATCAAAATCGACAATTTCATTTTGTACCCACATCAGACAATGGACGTCTTTGTGTTTTGTAGTTTTAATTTGAAAAAGCGTCAGGCTTATTACAATATTTGTTGTGGTGTAGTCTATATTTTATTTAATGTCCGCGAACTTTATATTTGACTTCCTGATTTTCACGGGCGGAGAGAAATGGAGTTTAACGCACTGTCGACTCAAACCAGGTCATTTCGGGACTAACGTACGGTTTAATATTATATAAATAATTCGCTTGTGTGTAGGGGTCTTTAGCTGTTGGGGGAAACCGAATGACCCAGAGGAAAGGCACGAGGCGACCCTACTCCTTGTCTGTACAAGCGAGGAATCGAAACCCCGCCATGGACGGATCTGTATAAAGAAGATGGGAGAGAAGAAGCTGGACCCACTTAACACCTGCCGTTGCTGTTCAATATTAAATTTATTAAAATATGCTTAACAATTTGTGGTAATAAGAAAATGTCAATGTCACTTTTTTGGAGCCACGGTGGCTAGGTGGTTAAGACACTGGCTCGCTAGTCTGAAGGTCGGGTGCTCGATCCCTGCATTGGCCGAGAAAGTTCATCCCGATTTTCCGACGTGGTTTCCCCTTGTCAGTGGTGCAGAACGGGGGGCCTGACAAGGACAGCTGTCTAGTCCTTCGGATGAGACGAAAAACCGAGGTCCCGTGTATACATTGGAATGCACGTAAAAGATCCCTTGGCAGTTGGAATTCGATATAAGAGTAGGCGATAGTGCCGCTGCCCGGGCAAAATTTCCCTCATAGCACACTTTGTGGCGTATGCCCTTCTTCATTAGCCCCGTATAGGAGCAGAACAGTAGGATGTTAAACACCATTTCATTTCATTTCCAAATTATGTTGGTGTTTTGTTCTTCTGTGTCAGCTTTGAATCTTCAGTTTATTCCACAGCTTCGTTTGTAAACCCGATATGGTAGTCAGTGACGGATCATGGTGAGGGCCCGCCGACCTCATTATCCGTCAACAGTGATTGTGATTGAATGATATTCTGAGATAATCGACATACGCCTCACGTAAAATACAACCGCCAGTAGATAGGAATTAACCACAACGTCAGGATAGTAGACATTTAATAACAAAGCTCACAATGGCAGGATAACTCTCCGTATTATTCCCCAAGGGAGAAAACTAATTATACATTTACTGTAAACGGTAAAACCAATTAGTAGGGTACAGTGGGCATGATTTCTTGTTTTAGGGAACTGACCAGAAGTGAAATCCTACAGAGAATCAAACTATGTACTCAGTTGAAGCCAGCCATGTGTTCGATTTAACAGTGCTTTTTGTGTAGATCATTGTAAAACCGAAATTTGTTTTGACCCAATGTGTCCCGTATGTGGGGTACACCGGGGGTCACACTATGGGACACAATTGACCATCAAGTATGTTTTTTAACAAAAAACAATGTGACAAGTGACACCTGAGCCTAGACAAGTTACTTGATACACCTATATGAACAAAACAATTGAAGATTTTGTTTAAAGTTGTTTTGTAACCATGGTATTATCGGTGATTTTAAACACTAAAAGTTATTATTACAGTGTCTTCAATAAAACTGTGTATCCGAATGTTGTACAGAATGAAATTTGGGTAAACTTTTTATGTAGCTATTGTACTAACTAGAACTATATTCACAAGTCTACTTCGCACGATCGCGTCTGTGAGGCAGACTCTGTTTATTGTTTCGTGGTAAAACATGAACAATCTGATTAAAACACAGATCATATTTCATTTCGTTTTTTTATAGTTCAAAATTTCGTTTTACTTGTCTTTACTACACTAGAATCTGGAAGAGTTGTTGTAGTGAGGGATTAGCCAATGAAATGGTCTGTTACGGCGAGTTTTTGGTGTGAGATGCACAGAACTGTGGGTAATCAAATGTTTAACGTCATATGGTTTAAAGTCGCTCGTATGACCTCTGACGTGAACTCCCACTATAACTTGTCAGATCTTCATGATGTAGAGGCCATCGAAAGTATAAAAAACGAAACGAAATATAAATCTGTATTTGAATTAGAGTGTACATAAACATGTCCTACAAAATATCTAATATTGTGCATGGACTGTACTGTACAATATCTAATATTGTACATGGACTGTACTGTACAATATCTAATATTGTGCATGGACTGTACTGTACGATATCTAATATTGTACATGGACTGTACTGTACAATATCTAGTATTGTGCATGGACTGTACTGTACAATATCTAATATTGTACATGGACTGTACTGTACAATATCTAATATTGTACATGGACTGTACTGTACAATATCTAGTATTGTACATGGACTGTACTGTACAATATCTAGTATTGTACATGGACTGTACTGTACAATATCTATTATTGTACATGGACTGTACTGTACAATATCTATTATTGTACATGGACTGTACTGTACAATATCTAATATTGTACATGGACTGTACTGTACAATATCTAATATTGTACATTGACTGTACTGTACAATATCTAATATTGTGTTAAATACACTCTCAGTCATCATCTTCTTCTTTTTACACACCTGGTATAGTGACAGCTTTAATTGTAGTCGTGTCAGAGTTATCTCCCTTCCACGAACCTGTAAACTGAATTATTTTGTTTTCTGACATGGCATGCTAACACAGTAGTCAATATGTGAATTTTTTATATAAGACCCCCCCCATCCCGGCCCCCATTCAATGTCCAATGGCTTAAGGGCTGCCTCAGGGAAACCCCCGGAGCTCTATTGTGCCCCACACTACGCGGACAGCCCCCCTCCACCCACAATAAATTTCGTTCCGAAGGGTGTTTATCAGAATAAGCATGCTGTGCTTCGTGCAGTGTACATTACTGACACTTATAAGCTAAGCCAAATATAGCTGTAGCATACACTTCACGACCCCTATCGCTAATCATAGCTAACTGTAGCTGTGGTTTACACTTCACGACCCCCATAGGCGTACGGGGAAATTTTTGACTGGGGGGTGGTGGTGGTTGGTGCCCAAAAAATGTAGTTAGGTTCTTAGTATGTTACATAATAATAATAAATTCGCTGTTAAATTGGACACATTCAAGAACGCAATGTTATTTTATACAACTTTTACAAAGTACAATTGTGTGCCCAAATTTTCCCAGCATTTGGTGCCCAAAATGGGGGGGGGGGCGGCCAGCTCGTGCGCCTATGACGACCCCTATCGCTAATCATAGCTAAATGTAGCTGTGGTTTACAGTGCACGAACCCCTATCGCTACTCACAGCTTAATGTAGTCATAGTTTACAGGGCACTATCCCCTATCGCTACTCACAGCTTAAAGTAGTCATAGTTTACAGGGCACGATCACCTATCGCTAATCATAGCTTAATGTAGTCATAGTTTACAGGGCACGATCCCCTATCGCTAATCATAGCTTAATGTAGTCATAGTTTACAGGGCACGATCCCCTATCGCTAATCATAGCTTAATGTAGTCATAGTTTACAGGGCACGATCACCTATCGCTAATCATAGCTAAATGTAGTCATAGTTTACAGGGCACGATCCCCTATCGCTAATCATAGCTTAATGTAGTCATAGTTTACAGGGCACGATCCCCTATCGCTAATCTTAGCTTAATGTAGTCATAGTTTACAGGGCACGATCACCTATCGCTAATCATAGCTTAATGTAGTCATAGTTTACAGGGCACGATCACCTATCGCTAATCATAGCTAAATGTAGCTCAGTTTTCAGTGTACGATCCCCTATCGCTAATTTTTAATATTGTGACGTGCCATAGAACTGTATTTCTTTCATTCCTTCAATGACCTGTCAATCAGTCTTTTATATGTAACAGATCAGTTTGATTTAGTGTTTATATTAAATAATAAGATTATGTATATGTATTGCTAATAAACTTTAAGATGTTTTTACTGGATATAACAAGTGTTAAATTTGTATAAAAATACCGTCGAGTAATAGAGCTCTAACATACCATTCTACTGTCGAGTGAGAATAGAGCTCTAACATACCATTCTACTGTCGAGTGAGAATAGAGCTCTAACATACCATTCTACTGTCGAGTGATTGGGATCTAACACACCTTTCTACTGTCGAGTTAGGGGCACTAACATACCTTTCTACAGTCGAGTTAGGGGCACTAACATACCTTTCTACAGTCGAGTTAGGGGCACTAACATACCTTTCTACAGTCGAGTTAGGGGCACTAACATACTTTCGAATGGCAATAGACCTCTTACATATGAAATGAAATGGGGTTTAACGTCCCACTGTTCTGCTCCTACTGGGCTATTGAAGACGGCCATACGCCATACAGTGTGCTATGACGGAAAGTTTGCTCGGAAAGCCACGCTACAGTCTAACATCATTTCGAATTCCAACTGTCAAGGGTTTTTTTTTAAGTGCGCGCCAACATTTTCACGGGACCTAGTTTTTTGTCCCATCCGAATGACTACCACTGAGATGAGGAAACTACCCTGGACGTCCTGAATATTGAGCCAGAACCATACTTACAGAATCTTCGCGGCTTCGTCACAAATTTTATTAGGTTGAAGCGTCAGTGAATATAATTAAAGTATACGATGGCTTAAAATAGTATGATTTATGGTAGGTCCACATTTCTAGATCATGGTGGTTAAATAAGTTTTGGGGGGTTTGTATGGTCGAATGGTTAGCACGTCATGCGCGGTGTATCATAATGTCTGTCATTGATTTCGATTCCCCGGTTGTACGTGACAAAGAATAGGGTCGCCTATCCAACCTCGTGGGTTTTCTCCTGGTCCTCCGGTTTCCTCCCACTGCTAAAGTCCCCCACGCGCAAGCGAATTGTTGAAATAAAATTGAACCATATGTTAGACCCGAAATGACCTATTTTGTGTCGAGTGGACGTTAAACCCCATTTCTCTCTAAATAAATTATAAAAGAAGATGACTGATTAGAGTTTAAAACCTCGACGGGTACACGGACGTTTCGTCAACGGAGGATAAATATATATTAACTGGTCATAATCAGTAACTAACTAGGCACGTGAGAGAGAGAGAGAGAGAGAGAGAGAGAAATGGGGATTAACGTCCACTCGATACAAACTAGGTCATTTCGGAACTAACATATGGTTCAATTTTATTTCTTTTCAACAATTCGCTTGCGCGTGGGGGTCTTTAGCAGTGGGAGGAAAACAGAGGACCTGCAAAAAAACCCACGAGGTCACGTACAACCGGGGAATCGAAACCACGCCAGTTGACTCAATGGCAGACCATATGATACAGCGCGCACGTGCTAACCATTCGGCCATCCAACCCCCCCCCCCCACATGGGCACGTGAATAGAGATTAAAATAAAATGGGATTTTCTGCACCAATTGAGTTCCAACTTTCAAGGGATCTTTTACGTGCACGTAAAAAAAATCCACCGGGATAGTCATTGAGTAATTCGTGATAGGGAATAATCTATGGTGGGTAGGCTTATTTATACGCTGTATGGAGTATATGTCCGTCTTTATTTACACAGTAAGACTAGAAAAGTATGACGTTAAACACAATATCATTTTATTCATTATATGTAATGTAAATTATTTACCTCCCACGTATATAAGTATATAACTGTCATGCTATAACAGCTACTGTATATATATGTAGCTATACTATACACTATGTAAATATAACACACAGTCTCGTGACTACACTCTGGACAATAGTCAAGTGATCCAACATATTAAAGACGAGTGCAGGCTAAACTATTGTAACCTATTAGTATATTCTCTGGCGAAAACATGGCGTAACACGACCGAACATTATGGATACTCTGAATCGGTAAGCACATACGTTATTTCAGAATTGTTTGGGAGGGACATATTAGGCTACTCGTGATACATCGTTGCTATAGTAACCTCGGTAACTTTGCCATCATTTTTGTCTTTTCGTCTTTTCGTGTGGACGTAAAAGAACCCCCGACCGCTGGAATTAAAAAAAGGGTAAGCGGATATACCACAAAATTTCCCACATACCACCCTGTATGACGTATTAGCCCTGTATGACATATTAACCCAGTTGGTGTAGATACGTATGTATGCATGACGTATTAACCAAGGTGGTGTAGGACGATCAACCCTATTCATTTTAGTTATGTTATATATCCTGATATAATATATTACGTTTATAGATCACAAGACCGTCACGTGATTGGAAATTTGAAGAAAATCTATACTCAGTTCCTGTTTGTGCGTTATACGCTAGTTTTTCTTACCTGGACATAATAATTGTCATTAAGGGATCAACCATACAAGCCCCCCCCCCCCCCCCCCCCACCAACTATTTAAAGGGAATTCCCGATCATGTGACAATATTACCAGTGAATTCAAATTCCCTGCCCCTCTTTTAAATTAAATTTAAGGGTAATTCCTGACCAACCCTATTTCACTATTCCCAAGGAATTCACAATTCCTGTCAAGACTTTAAAATAGATGAAATATACCAAAAAAAGAATCTTTATCAATAATTACGACTTAAATATAATGCTATATCACGCAGTTATAAATTAGACTTACAATCACCATTTTGTCTTATTTAACTTTAGTCTGTCTGTGAGACGATAAGGGAAAGAATGATCAACAGTTTAGACGAACGACATCCAATATGAGATTTGACTGATCGCCATTTTGGACAAAAACAAAGACGCAAAGAACAACACATATTGAACCAACAAACATTGCAAAGATTGGATAATGGAGATATTGACGTGCTGTCTCGGATGTCCAGGTAAGGTATAACAGTAACCTAATAATGTAGGTTTCCCAAGTAAATTTGTCTGCCCACACAAAATACAATAAACTATCATGAAATGAAATGAAATGGGGTTTAACGTCCTACTGTTCTGCTCCGAACTGGGCTAATGAAGACGGGCATACGCCATACAGTGTGCTATGACGGAACTTTTGCCCGGACACGGGACCTCGGGTTTTCGTCCCCCCCCCCCCGAACGACTAGACAGTTGTCCTTGTCAGGTCCTGAACTATCATGAAGGATCTAATAAGTACAACTAAATAACAAGATATCGGTGCACATGACTTCGATTTTTGTTCCATTCGAACGACTAGACACTGATCGTTCCAAACACCCAGTCCTGCACCACTGACAAGGATGCCACGCCGGACGATCCCGAGCAGTGGACGTTGAAACCAACTAGGGTGCTACACAAATATGACCAGCGAGGAAGTTATAATGGAATGGCTGTGTTATAGTGTATCGTTGTATATATTTTATTATTTAATTTTAGTCAAAATAGTAATTGACCAATGTCTGAATTGATATCTCACTAATCTTTCAAATCCTTTAACTGTTTGGGTTTATACTTAATATAACGATAGATATTATGTAATTATAGTTAACCACGCGTTCTAGCTATGTCCATTTAAATATTTGTTTCTTATGTACAATTTAACATCTCTGATCAAATATTTTTATATAATTATTTTTATCCTAGGCTTGTATATATGTTCTATATTCTACAGTAACTTTAGTCTGGTGACCGGCTCGCCCTAGCGATACCTATCTCGTTATTATGACCGTTAACCAGTTTTTAGACACTCGTTATTAAAAGTAGAAGTGTAACTATTTATTCTGGGTTATCATCGTCGTTAGCGTTGGAATAATCTACAACCTCTAGAAAACAGGGGCCTGTTTCACGAAATTGTAACTAAGATCAAATCCAAATTTTAGTAATTTGATTGGATAATATTAGACTGATTTTAGTGCTTAGCCAATCAAAATCGAAGTATCCACTAAAATTTGGATTTTAACTTTAGTTAAGATTTCGTTCGAGAAACAGGGCCCAGAACTTCGGCAGTTGTAACCAATGTCGCATCAGTCGCGTCTCAAACCGAATCAAACTGTGTATCAAATCCAATAGTGACGCTGGATTCAGAAAACTAGTTTTAAATTATGGATTCCAAGAACTCGCAATAGGTTTTCAAATGTAGATGCTACATGCTTTGACTAATATTAAGTGCAGGGGGTGGGGTGGGGCGGTGGCCGCACTCCACGCAAACAGACCGATAAGATAAACTACACAGAATAATACAACAAATTTCAATTCAATTGAATGGATCTGCAATGTAGTGGTAAGTGTCCACTGTGCTCTACAGTCCCGTGTTTCACCTAGATTGAATAGAAATATAATTGATATACACCTAAGACGTAATGTGATCGGTGTTGGTGATCGGTCTTGGTGGTGGTCATCTTCTTAATGACGATAGTCTACCTCCGACGTCAGAGAGAGAGAGAGAGAGAGAGAGAGAGAGGGGGGGGGGGGGGGGCAGTTATCAA